GATTAAATGTTGGATTAAACATCATTTCATTTTGTTTTAAATTTTGAAAGACATTTATATAGTTTATTTATGAATAAATAAACAATTTTATGTTTGTGATTAGAGATGCATTCATCCCTAATTTTTGCTAAAAATCTGAGTTTTGAAGAAAGTCGGGTCGTTACAGTAAGCGGGATCAATTTCTAATGAAATTAGGACCTGAATTTGAAGTTGCTCGGGCGATTTTATTGAATCACGATCCGGTTCCTTCTTTGTATGTATGTTTGGGTGAACTTCTATGTGAGGAGAAACGTTTGGCTACACAAACTACCATACGAGCTGATCTTTCCTCTAATGTAGTGAACGTTGCCTATGCCGCACAAGGACAGGGAAAAGGTAAACTTCAATGCTTCTATTGCAAAATACGGTCATATTGCTCGCCATTGTCCTCAGAAACTCTGCAAGTACTGCAAGCAACCGGGACATCCTATCAAGGATTGTCCTACACGACCTCAGCAACGAAACGCTCAAGCATTTCAAGTTAATGTGCATGGACCTCCTCCCACACTCTCTCCGACAAGTATTAGTCAACCGCTTCTTACCCCAAAAATGGTTCAACATATGATTGTTTCTGCCTCCTATGCTTTGGGCTTATAAGGTAATGGTGAAGTTGTCTCTTCTCCTTGGTTTGTTGATTCGGGGACGTTAAATCATATGACGGTTGTTCTAATTCATTGCATAATATTCGACAATATACTGGCACGCAACACATTCAGATTGCTAATTGCAGTACCCTTCCGATTACTGCTGTTGGTGATATTGGGTCTTCTTTTGATAATGTTTTTGTATCTTTGGGCTTATCTACTAACTTGATTTTGATTGGCCAGTTGGTTGATAATAACTGTGATGTACATTTTTCTCGTGCTGGTTGTCGATCAGGGGTCAAGGAAGGTGATCGCGAAGAGGCCTAAAGTCGGAAGATTGTTTCCATTACAATTTAATATTCCTACTGTTTTGTCTTTAGCATGTATTGATGTTGGCCTTAAGCTTGAAATTTGGCATAAAAGACTAGGGCATCCGAATACTTTAATTTTGTCTCATTTGTTGAAGTGTGATTTTTTGGGTAATAAAGATCAGT